AGATCAGTACAATGCATCGGCTCGGAAGACATGATGAACGTGGAAGAACGCAGAAACAGATCGAAACAGCTGAACAAATGAAAGAGAAGATCTAACCCAGACCTGAGTTCAAAACTTGAGAAAATCTTTGGAGGTCAATCGAAATCCTCAGAAACGGATCAAAATCTTTGAAAATGGATCACAAAACTCAAAGGTTTGCCGGAATATCTTGAACCGCGGGGCGGACAGAAGGCGGAACCCTAGCCGGAGTGAAACAAAAACAATAAAAAAAAAGAGAGAGAAAGAGAGCTTTACCTTTTGTAAAATTTGTGGGGAGTAAATTGTAAAGGGCAAAGACAAGAGATCGACTATATATAAAAGATTTGCGGTGCGTGGAATCCGTATAAATGCATGAAGTCCGCTCTTACCTTGGGAAATAGCAAACATATGTGGGTCCCAGAGTAATAACGGCCACGCGCGTGGAATCTGTAGCGACGAACTTCACCGCCTTAGCAAAATATGAGCCTTCATCGCTACGAACCATAATCATAGCCAAAATGTTGCTCTCATTAACGCATCTCGGCAAACTCTCTCAAGAAATTCCCTGGAAATATTTATTTATCTTACATGAAACGCCTCGGCAATCTCTCTCTCTCTCATGAAATGCCTCGGCAATGTTTCTTTCTCTCACGAAACGCCTCAGCAATGTTTCTCTCTTACAAAACGCCTCAGCAATGTTTTTCTCTTTCAGTAAAAGCCTCGGCATAGATAAGAGTTGCTCGCTTCAGTAGACCTTTTCTTCTTTTCACCGCGTCTCAGCCCCTTCATCAGTTCACTTAGCAATCGTCTTTCCGAGCCAAGTACTTCTGATTGTGGTCACCGAGCCGCTCATATTTCGGCTCATCAAACCAGTAACACCAAAGGATGTGGCTCAACGCGATGAAAGCCTCGGTATAGAATAAACTCTAAATCCCGACACTGGATTTCCGAATTTCAGCAGTTACCCCCGACTCCTAAGCTCTAAAACCTCGACACTCCTGCCATCAGAACTAATGAGCTAGGGGGCTAACTGTTGGGGTCGGATTCCTGTAAATGGCTAAGTGTCAAAAGTAGACTTTGTTAAGACCACTTATCATTGGTAAAACCGAGTCCAAAGAGAGAATTATCCAAAGCGACCGAACCGGATCGGATTTACAACCCGGTCTGAGCGAGCCGTGAAGCCCGAGTCCAGCCAGATGCTGCATGGGCCGAGTTGCGCTGGAGGGTGTGCAATGTTGGGCCAAGGCGACTCTCGCAGTATCAAGTTGGGCCGAGCCCAGTGACGGGACGATGGGCTGAACCGGAGGATGTTTGGTTGGCAGGCCTACCCGTGAAAGGTGAAGCCCTTGCAAAACCCTAGGTGAAACGTTGAGGCGGTTGCCGAGCGAGGAGAAAAGGAAATTTTCCGAGAATCTTGGTCGGTTCATAGAACTAGTATAAATAGTCAAAGTATCTTATTCATTATGTAACTTTTGCAACCCTAAGCAATAAGACTAAACACTTTCACAGCAATTAAACCTTCTTTTGATCTTTTGTTCTTGCGAGAAAACCTTAGATATTTTGGATCCATCCAATTTCTGTTACAAGTTTTGATTGTGCGAGTTTTGACTCACACAACTGTCCTCTAAGATATCAGCACAGATCATCAAGGTCACCATTTCCTGATAATACTCTTCCAGACTCTGAGTTCCTTGAGTAAGATGCTTTAGTTTGTTGTGCAATTCCCAGTGATAATGACTTGGAACAAAACTTTTCCCCTAATGGCTTTCATCTCGGTATGTTCTCCAAAGGGTATTCTCCATTACGCCTTCTGAGAAATGACTAGTTGATCTCACCAACTAAGAGCATAGTCATAGATCTCTGTTGCAGCGATTCTCACATGGTTGATCTCAGTGAAGTGTTTGCAATTAAATACCAACTAATCCCACCAGATAAGCATCAGTGTCATTATTTCCATCAAAACGGTGGAATCAGAAGCTTGAGACCCCTGAGATTTTCTTGAAGTGGATCACGATCGTTTCTAACACGTTGGTACGCTCTTTGATCTTTCTGAGACGTGTGACTATCTTTTCTGTAATAACTTGCATCTTCTTCATCTCTATTGTGGACTGGCGGCTATCTTTCTCTCCTAGGAGACCTGTCTCGTGCTCTCCTGGATCGATTATTACTTTGAACTGGCTCTTCCTTTGGCTGGAACTCTTGTTGGAATGTTTCTAATTTGGTATTGAGCACATGTTCTATTCGCACCATCATAGCCTCCATTAGAAGTTTGTTCTTGTGTTGAGTACTTGTTTCTTCATTATTGGCCATGATTTTCTGAAATCACAACACAAGAAATCACCATTCTTCCACACAATCGATTAAAGTGTAAAAGTGACTCTTCGTGTGGCACACAAAACAAAAACCCTAGAATTTGATCGGTTTGTTTTTAATTATACACAGATACAACGCCGATGATGAGATCTAGTATTAAAAGTTCAAGAGACAAATTGATTCTAGCTGATTTCAAAAACTAAACAAATGATGAAGACCAGATCTGAACGAGAATGATGTAAACTAAACTAGTTAAACACCGATTTAGTACGAACAACTATGAGAAACACTTATGAATGGATTTTGGTGATTGTTTTTGATGGATTTATAATTGCAAATGAATGAAGTGATGAAAACAAAAAGAGGTTAAGAAACAACTGATGGAATCAAAAATCTACTAAGAAAAATGTAGCCCTGATACCATTTAATATGATTCTGGAAAAGATCTTCCCATGATCGGCACTCTAATGACTGGATCGAATAGAACTTATGCTTAAAACACAAAGGATTCAAACACAAGAGAGATGGATTGAGGGGTCGTAAAAGAGTTGCGGAAGACTCTTGATGTACCGGGGTGATCCAACTATATGACACACCTTAGGATCGATTTGCTAAAGAGATATTACACACTCTAAAGCTAAGATGTTTAAAGAACAAATGATCTTAACTAGAAAGAGATTTGGTAAAAAAAAAAAAGATAAGATGAGTTTTACAAATGATAGTACAAGACAATAAAAAAAAAAAACAAGTCAACCAAAGATATAAATGAGTTTTGGAAATAACATAAAAAGCTATCAAGTTTGAATTTGAATTTGGCTCCTCTTCTTTTCTCTTGCCCGAGATTTGTTATGGGCTTAGGCTTAGTGACTTAGGATAGATAGATAAGTGACCCAATCTTGCCTCATTAAAAATCTATCTCTAGAAAAACCCATTGGAACAAAACTAGAGATAGAGAAAGCCATTTTGAACTTGGATCAGAATCAATGTATTTGTAGTACACTATTTTCCCTCTTTAACCGTCTTGTAAGCTTGCTTGGTGTTGTCTCCTATTGCCTCTTTGAGTTTCCTAGTTCTTGATCGATTCATAGGTCCGTTTGGAATGATCAAGGCTCCTCTTGTTCAGCTACAAGCTTTCCATCCTCATGTTCAAACTCTCCTTGATCTATGTTGCGGTCCATGATCACATCAAATTTCAGTTGAGGAAATGCTTGCCACATTTTTGCTCACTGTTGGCCAGAACTCGTAATATATTATTTATCAAGCCAAAAAAAAAGAAGAATTATTCAACCATCGTCATGCTTCTTTGAGAAATGTTATCGGAAGAATTTTTGGTATTTTTAAATCTACATTTTTGATCTTCAAATTTGCACCTGGTTTTCCATATAAAACACAAACAGAAATAATGCTTGCATGTGCTGTATTGCATAATTATCTGCGTCAGGGGTGTCGTTTAGCTGAGTGTTCTCTGGAGGAAACTAGTGATGAATCAAATGTTGGTCAAACAAATAGCGATGGTCATCAATTCCTAGGTACACAAGAACAAGAAAGAGAATATGCTACTGAATGGAAAGCAAAAATTGCTTCAAATATGTGGAATGATCCTATCATATGTGGATCTCAACGGTGATATATGCAACTATTGCAAGAAGAGGGGTATCTTTCTCTATCTTTCTTTCTTTTCAATATTTCTGCTTGACGATGCTAGGGAAAAACTATGATGCATTTGTTGGCTGATATTGTTAGATGATTTATGATGTTGGCTGGACGTTATACTCTGGGAAAAAATTGAAGTCTCACAATAAGGCTAAGCTTGCTGCTAAGTGAAGTGGTTTGTTAAAGCAATCAATTTCCTACTTTTAGCCTGTTAGAATATTTATTAGGAACATAATATGTTTGAAATTGTTTCTCTTTTCGTCACGAAACCTTGGGATTATTATTTCTTTTTGTTTATAACTAGGGCATAGGTTCATCAATATTACTCTTCCTGCATCATCCTCCTCTACTGTAATATTTTTTAAGATCATCTTTGTTGTTGCAGCTATGCAATGATTTGTTTTTATAGAAACCGAAGCTCATTTCATATGGGAATGAATATGCCTCTATTTTTAGTGACGAAAGATTTGCTTTGATCAGATTCTGAGATTCTCTATTGGCACATGCTCAAACTTTATCTCTTCATCTTAGTTAATAATAATCAAAAAAAAAAATTGTGCAGCAAGCATATAATTGAAAACAAAACTTTATAAGCTTCGTGTATAAGTTCAATGAATTTATTAAAACTAGATCTTTTTTTTTCTTTTTCAAATTTTTCTGAAATTTCTTTAAATCATCCTAAAATTTATAACAATCATTTTGGAAAATTTAATAAATCTCAAATCTCTTTCAAATTTTCTGAAATTTAGTGTACATCTAAATTAATCGAAATCACTGATCCAATATTCCCCACCCCCCCCAGAGCACTTGTACCAACTCAAAAGAAATTTCCATGTCAGTCTACGTCCGTCTGTAGTACAAAATTTTGGAGTGCATTACTAACGTTTTTTTTTTTTGTGATTTCTCTATGCTCTTTTTTTTTAGGAAAAAGTGTTTCCTCTACCTTCTTCTTGCAGATAGATTTCCACAATAACATCACATGCCAATACATAACTAATATTTTTCCATCTCTAAGGGGCTTATATAGGTTTAGGTGTTGACATCCATGAACTCCAAGCAAATTACAGTTTTGAGACAAAAAAAAATTTTCCTCAAATTTAAATCTTTACCATGCAAAGTTTACTTGATGCCTTGATGGCTTGAATCATTCCAAGAGAAGTTAATTCCCTCACTTGACACTCCTCTTGATGACCTCCCATCAGCCTCACTCGCATATGTTGAGTAGAAGTCGTCGTCTCCTTCTCGCTCCTTCATCAAATCTTCCATCTTCTCGACAGCCTCTCTTATGTCCAATCTTTTCTCCACATCTACTTCGCAACAACTCAATCCAATCCTTAAGAGTTTGAGAATCTCTGCTTCAGAGTTGTTGGTTTTCCCCATTTCTTGATCGAACAATTCTTGTGTCCATTCTCCTTGGAAAATCGAATTCACCCAACTCGCCATGTCATGCTCACTTTTTTTATCAGCTTGCTGAAAACATTCAGGAAGCTTCCCTGTTAGAGTCTCCAGGATCAGTATACCGAGCCCCCACACATCAGTTTTCTTGGTGACACGGCTATGTTTCAAGTACTCTGGAGACTTGTAAGCCACCATGAGCTCTTGTGCGCTTTCTTCGTCGATCATAGGAATTAAGCCATAGTCTGTAAGAAGAGGCTCATAATTCTCATTGAGAAGAACATTGGATGATTTTAGATGACCATGAGGCGCCATTAGGCTAGGCAGGTTTTGGTGCAGGTATAAAAGCCCCCTTCCTACACCTTTGACAATATTGAATCGTGTTGGCCAATCCAAGCTTGGTTGACCTAATGATTTATGACCTTAATACACACGAAAACACAGTTTGTAAGGAAACCAAAAAATTGATTTAGTAGTTTACTAATTATAAACGGAGAAAAAAGCAAAATAATACCATGGAGATGAGCAGCCAAGCTTCCCTTCTCAACAAAATCACAAACAAAAAGTTTTTCTTCTTTTTTATAGTAATAAGCCACAATTGGGAGCAAATTCCCATGCCTTAACCTCCCTAATCTCTTCATGTTTTCTTGGAACTCTTCTGTTCCTACAGTATTCATATGTTTAAACCTCTTCACTACCATCATTGATCCACTTGAAAGCACTGTTTTATACGATGCTCCGAAGCACCCACTTCCTAGAATCTCTGCAGATGCTTTCAATAAATCTTGCAACTCAAATTTTCCCTTATCATCTCTCAAGAATGACAATTTTGTGGTATGAGTCATCCTCTTTGTTGTAGGCTTTAGTGAATGGCAGCTACTTTGTCCCTTATCACCTTCTTGGATCCCAGCTCTCTTTTGTAGACTTGATGGTCCGGGTTCTTGTGATAACAACGGCTGCTTGTTCCTTTTCCTTCGGCATAGCATGATGATGATTCCAAGAATTATGAGTATTGCAAGTAGTGCTGCTACCACTGCGGCTACAATGTAGAAAAATTTTGATGATTTTTTTTTGGAGCTTGCCTTATGCTCCGGAGAAATGTTGTAAGGAGAATAACACTCTGAATCCAAAGGTTTTCCACATAATCCTTTGTTGCCTGCCAAATATAACTTTCATTGAAAGAGATAAACTAAAAACTCCCATGTCTTACAGAGAATTTGAAAAAATTGAAGCACCTTCAAACATTTTTTGATCCATTCTGCTGAGAATCTTTGGGATGGGACCTGATAATGCATTATTTGAAAAATTCGACATGTTTAGTTCATGTGTGAATTCAGGTATTTGACCAGTGAACCGGTTTCCGTCAATTCTAAACTCTAAAAGCTTGGGAATAGTGGCCACAGACATTGGAATTTCTCCACTAAATTTATTTTGTTCGAGATAGAGTTTCTTCAACCACCCCATCCCTTCAAATGCATCCCTTGGTATCTTTACATCGTATTGATTGTTTGACAAGTAAATTGATTTTAGAGCACCAAGTTTCTTGAACTCTGGAAATGGACCTTTAAGTTTGTTATTCATGAAGCTGAGAGACCTCAGAGACTTCAAACCCATCAACGCCTCGATGTCTAGAGAGCCAAGGAGCTCAATATTCTCTAGTCGTAGTCCCCAAACATAACCGTTATGACATAAGACTCCAATCCATTTGCATGGAGGATTCTTTCTATCCCAACTCTCCAAAGCACCTGCTCTGCCAATAATAAGAGATTTCTTGAATTTCAACAGAGATTCAGTCTCCGATAAGCCATGAGCAGACACGAAAAAGAAAGATACAATGGAAAAGAAGATGAGAGATGTGAATTCCATGGCCGTTGAAGGGAACGCGCACAGGAGGCGCGCCCTCTCAGGGAAGACGAAGGGAGAGTTTGAAGATGAACAAAGACGACGATAATCTTAGATGAATGAAATGACGGAGAAAGAAAGAAGAGTGATGAAGAGGAGAGGTCTGAATGAAAGCATACCTAGAATAGACAACACTGGGAAATATTTATGGTCTATCAAAAGAAATTTGGTGTTTTCTAGCTTTGACGAAGTCTTTGTTTTAAAGAACGTCACTTAGAGATTTGTGGTGGAACTTCAGACCAATTCCGCTTTTTTGGGAGTTTCTCTTTGTTTAAACTCACTTTTATATATACTAGGTGAATACCCGCACGTAACGTGCGGGGTTTTCTTTTCAATTATTTCTAATTTATATATTTTATATTTTTCTAAAAAAACATAATCATCAATTGCTATATTATTATAAATCAATCAATTTTAAATATAATATCATTAAAAATTAAAAGTTTTATACCAAAAAACTATCAATATTTTTAATTAATTATAACATAAATTCTTGTTTAATATTTACATAAATGTTATTTGAGAATTAATTAATAAAAAACTTTTCATATTATTAACAAATCTAAAATTTTATACAAAAAAATCATCAATATTTTTAATTAATTATAACATAAATTATTTTTTAATATTGACATAAATGTTAATTAAGAATCAAATAATAACAAAAAACTTTTCGTTTTCTTTGAGTGGTTAAAAACTTAATATTAAAATTTTTTAATTAATTTTTTAAAAAAATTGTAACTTTAAACTAAAAATTGACACATGTCATCTCTATATTAATTTTAAAATGCTGAGGTGTCACTCATATGGAGAAAGTTAGTCATCTTTTATATATAAGATTATATTTTAGCAAAAAAAAATAATATATAAATATATTATTTTTTTTTGCTAAAATATAATATAAATTAATCAACCGTTACTCTTTTTTTTTGTTGACAGCGTGAACTACCTAGAACGGTTCAGTCCACCAAATTGGTGGTACCGAATCTACATAAATGAGTTCTTGAGGGAAAGAAAATTATTCACAAGGAGAGAAATAATCAAGTTGAAGCAATATACTTGCAATAAACTAACATAGAATTATTACTACATAATAATAATTTTTTTAATGTTTGGAATGCATACTTTTGGAAGAACGACACATGAGGTTATCAGCCAATAAACTAACCCACTCTGCAATGGGTTAAAACGATTTACACATTTAAGCAGACTATATGTCAGTTTTTAACAAATCTAACTACAGTTTTGCTCCATCTTATAACAGCCAATTATCCGGATTGATCCCTAAATTTTGATTACTTTTTTTTGGATGAATGTTAATTTTATTCAAACCGAAAAAAACCCAACGTTTTTACATCTTAGATGCTATCATTTTTTGTTAACAAATACAGCTAAGCAAAACTGATAAGAAAAGTAACACTTTAAAAGCTGGATTCCCATCTTCTTCTCAAGGCCGAGTTGCTAGCCATGTTTGAGATCCTTCTTCGTACTTGTTATCTCCAAATAATCTGATTGAGCTGAAACGATTTTTGAAGCCTTTTTCAATGAACTTGATTAATCTCATCGCAGAGGAAGGAACAAAGCCATGCCGTCGTACATTTCTTTCTCTCCACAAGACATGAATAGTCATCGTGAACAGGTATCTGAGGATAAAAATCTGCAATCTGTTCCAGGAAGGAGCAGAGATGAGGGTGATCAAAGTTGCCCATTCATTAGAGTAGGCTTCCTGTAGGATTCCTTTTGCCAGATTCTCCCAAACCTGAGTGATAACTAAGAGTTTTCTAGCTCTTTGTAGAGGTTATCAATCCCCTGTCTTGTAGTACAAGGGGTTATCAATCCAAACTTGTATGTGAGACACTAGTCTATGTCACTTGTGACCTTAAGTCAAGATGAACAGGTAAAGGTTTTTATCTACTCTACTTAACAAGCAAATAAACATGAAAATGAGATAAAAGATGCGGTTTAAACTAGATGAGAATGCAAGTGATTAACAATAAACAAGCAAATGATCGGATGATGATAATATATGATAAAGGCAGAAGCTTTAGACAGGATAAAAGACTCGGGTGCTTCCAAGCTAAATTAGCAAGTTAATGAATCAGTATTATCAAGCGGTTTCATTTAACATGAACTTAAAGTATGTTAATCTAATCATGAAAGTATTAAACATCTAAACTGATCCTCTTTCATACCAAAATCCCATTTGAGAAGCATGAATCAGACTAGACCCCTAAACTCACTAATCTATCATGAAAGCACCCTAATCTACCTATCTAAAGCCGCTTAAACGACTACTCACTGATCATAACGAGCTCACTAAGTCCTTTGCAAGACAAGTAGCTAGTCATGATAAGGAGTTTAAAGCTGGAGAATAAAAGAAGATAGACAAGAACAAGATTCTGACGTGAAAACGAGATATCAGATTAGATTGATCAAGTTTCAAAAAAGAGGCAAGTTCTTAAGACTAAAACAGGCAGGAAATAAGATAAGATAAAAGATGATTAGGTTTCTGGTCCTAAAATTTATTTATAGTGAAGGGTAAGTGTCGCGGGTCATCCTGGAACAAACCGGGTACTAAACGCTCTTCTTGGGTCGTCGGTTGAGCACCACAGTGTGTGAGAGGGTGAAGCCGAGGTCAAGATGCCGAGGGGTGCACGTGAGCAAAGATCAAGATGAAGATCTCATGAAGAACACGTTAAGAACATGCATAAACCCTAGTCTTCAATCCATCTTCACGTGTGTCCTCTAAGTCACTTTGTTCTTGACTCTGGGTTCGTGGCAAGGGACCTCGACGTGTAATGTCGAGGAGCTTGGTAGTCGAGAGGTTCAGGACGACGGAGTCCGGCATGCAACGCCGAGGTCTTTGTACCGAGGTGCATGTTCAACACTTAGTCGTTTTCAGCTTCACTTCTCTTGTATGCATGCCTTGATCTCAACATACCGAGGGGTTGGTACGAGGTCTAGTCCAAAATGCTTTCAGGAAATGAGCCTCGGCCTGAGCAATGTCGAGGTAACGATGCCAAGGTCTGTAGAAACACTTAGCGCGTATCGCAACTCCTTTGGGCGCGTATCGATCGACTTGTCTTCCGGAAAACTTTCAGCACACGACTCCAAATGCTTTGAAACCAGATCCATAGTCAAGATGACTCATTCAGCTCAAACTTTGGTGAAGAAACCATCGGAGCTTGGGAAGTGGAAGGCTCCCCGGATTGCTCATCTTTGCACCGCGTTGGAATGACCGGAAAGTACAGCTTTTAGACTGATGTGTACTCCGGAGACGGTATCTTCCAAACCACCGCTCCGAATTGAGCGACTTCAGGCGTTCTGGAAAGAGCATTCATAGACCTTGTGAACTGGTTCGAATCGGAAGGGCTTCGTCCCACGTAATCTTTGAAGCTCGCTGATCGGCTTTCGGGTGTATGCGAGACAGGCGTGTCTTCCGGAAGCAATATCTCTCTACTTACTGGTTCGAATTGCGTGATTCCAACTGCTCTGGGATCTTGGCTTGATTATCTCCAACTTTGATGAAGATCCCGTCAACTGATTGGGACTGGAAGGTTCCCCGGATTGGCGATCTTTGACGCGCGCGGGTGAAAATGGGATTTAGCCGATAAAAGGTTCCCGCGGTAAGGGAAATGTCCGAGAATCGTGTACCGCGGTAAGCTTTTAAGCCGGTAAAAACTTTTTGCCTCGGCATAAAATTTCACCCGATGAAATTTTCACCCGATACTAATTTTTAGCCGATAACGATAATCCGATAGCGATTTTGGCCAATGTTCTAATCCAGCCGGTACGAGTTTTCGCCGAGAAATTCCTCCAAGCGGTTTTCACCATTTTTGAACCTCTCCTTCACCGTTTCCACTCCTAATCCTCCTCTTGAGCTCCAAATAGCTTCCAAAGCACCTGATAAGGACTTCAAAACATGCAAAACTCTTTGGGACCTAATGCAAATCTTAAAGCCTATTTTGATGCCTAAAGACTCGATATATATGAGAAAACATATGATATGGACTCTAAAATGCGGCCTAAATGATGCAAAATATAGACATGTCACTGAGTCGAAAAAAAGCAAGTGAGAAGCCTCCACACAAGTATCCTGAAGAGCTATTTGAAGGTTCTGGTGTTGTCCAAATTGACTTGTGTCGCATGAGGTTTGCCTTCGACAACTGTACCCAAAGAGAGTTCGCTGTGAGAAGCCTCCTCACAAGTTTCAGCACACAGACACCGTTTTCCACCCGAAATTTTTGTAAACCCAGACCCCCTTCATCACGTGGTCTACAAACATCAACCCATGCGATTTTTGCTTTCCCATGGGTTGATGTTTGTAGACCACGTGATGAAGTTAAAATTTGATTATTCTTGTTAAAGTTTATTTAGAATGTGTATAAATATTTTTTATACATAATAACATAGAAACATTTGTTCGTAATAGTTCAAAAAAGGAGAACTGTTATTATTTTGTTACTAAAAACCGAACATAAAAACCATAATACTCATAATTTAAAAAGCGGAAAAAGCGGAGAGGGCTATTTTGGCGACACAAAGTGTGAACTTAGGGTTTGTGACTTCTCGGTCAAGCTAGGACCGAAAAGGATGGCGGCTCCGGGACAGGAGCTCCCTCCGCCGTCGGAGAAGGATAAGGAGACATCGGAGACTGTTCCAGTGGTGGGAAGCGAAGTTTTGGTGGAGAAGAAGGGCACAGATTCAAGTGATGGAGATTTACCTACAGAGACGAAATAATCTGCAGAAGATGAGGGCGTTGCGGAGGTTCAGGTTAGCTCGAAAGAGCTGGTCCAGGTTAAAAAGTGGGCAGCAGTGGTGAAGAAGAGGGAGGTTTTGCAGTGCTATGACATGGTGCCAGTGGAAACAATGGAGAACATATTTTTAGGGTTCCCAAAACTATCCTTGACGAAGCACCCTTATGGGATGATTGTATCTTGAGGAAGTTCCTCAAGAAAGCTCCACATGTTGGATATATTCACATGACAGTGAATAGAATCTGGAACATGGGGGCAAAATGACAAAATTTGATG